CGGAGAGTTGTGTGCAGCGTCGCGCCCGGGAAGCCTCGTCTGGCTGCCCCCGGCTCAGCAGCCACCCCCTTCGGCCCGGTATCGCTGCTGAGCGACAGCAGCTGCAAGGCCTGGTGTGGAAAAGTTATTACGTGTTACGCAGTCAGTCAAAAATTCAGGGCCCTTCCTTTAGAAGCATGGCTGAATGAGTCAGTCCTGGCTTAAACTCACACTTGAAAGGAAAAATACATACATTTGGAATTCTTTTGCCCAAAAGACCTTGTTCTGTGCCTCTTGTTTTCAAAACTATAATACACCCACAACACCCACCCACCCCCATTTCAAAATGAAGAATTGTAATTAAGCCCCCTGAATCATTTTAGTAATTAGTCTTACATCTGTATTAACCATAGATCCCGTAGCAGGGTCTGGCAGCTGGAGCATGGCAACAGTGCTGAGAGACTCGCACCAAGCCTCAAGGTCACGCTCATCTCAAGTAACTGAAGGGATCGCTCCACCACACCGTTCCACGCTTCTCTCCTCAGTTAAGGCAAGAACAGTGATCCTTAGCACTCTTAAGCTAGCAATGTCAAAATACTTTTCAAAGTGCAAGAGGAGGGTTACAACAGTTGTTATTGCTTATTACAAAGGCTTGCCAGTTAAAATATTTGTTGTGCTGTTACATGGTCAGAGTGCAACAGAAAATTATGTTTACAGGACAGTGGTTTTGTTCATACATTAATTATTCCTCAGATTATTGCTCGGTTGTATAATGCAAAAGTGATTAGTAATTATTATTTATGTCTGTGAGCATGAATGAACAGTAACATGGAGATCTGATCACCCCAACACTGAGATCCATGCAGGATTAAATTAATACAAACTGTCACAATTCATCTTAAACTCATCTGTCATCTGGAGTTAACAATTTAAATTTAGGGCTTATTTAATAAAAAAAATTAATGCCATTTATTACTAGTTCGATTCCAATGCTATTTTGATATTGCTTGTTGTTTACTAATCTTTTCTGTTTACTTAACTGGATTTTTCTGTTAAAGCTGCATTTATAGAAAACAGATTCATTGGCTGCAAGAACAGTCCAAGTAATAATTTTTCTTCTGTGCCAACACGTTTCTTATCTTTTTGGCAAGACACAGAAGACAGAAATAAGACGAATGATCCAGAAACTTAGGATTTGGCCTGGGCAAAAGGACCGTTAGCTTTACCCAGATTCAGAATTCATCGGTGCAGTTTTATTTGGTACAAAAATATATTAGGTGGCAAAGGAAGAGTGTTCACCATGTTTGCCTGAATTCACATTTACTTTGCTGCTGACAAACAGAGGATTGTTTGGAAAGATTTTTATGTCATTATTACTCATTACTGTTCTCTAGCTCATGGCAAATAACTGTTCACAGCTCTATACTGTTATGAAAGTGATTTCTTAAAGGAGTGGTTGGAAGCATTCATGTAATACAAGAGACAAGAGCAACACAAATCTTGTCTTCTGTTAAGCACAGAAGGTGGTTACTTAGGGCTTTTAAAGCTTAAATTCAATTGGGGAAGCCAACCAACGTACTTAAAGCAGAGAATTACATGATAGAAGCGACAAGCAGAGAAGAGACAGCAGGGCAGCATTTCATTGAGAACGAACACAAGTGATACATGTATGTTGAGGTTGAACAGACTGATGTTGCAGCATAATAAAGGTATAGAGGAATATGTAAGGACAACTTAAAAGTGATCTAGAAGTAAAGATCGTTCTAACAGGCACTGTCCATTCACCACAAAGGACAACATGACACATAATTAGTGTGAAAAGTGTTTTCCTTGAACACTTTTGCTGTCAGCAGTAACCAGCACACAATAAACACTTTTGCATTAGCTCCAAGTATCTGACAATTTGTCTCAATAATTTTGATATAAAAGAAACCGTGACATTCTGTCCTCCTGACTTCTGTCTTCAGCAATAGCACACAGTCATAACTTCTATTCTGACATTGTTCTGACACCTTAGAGAAATGCCGTAACTTTTAAACTCTTGAGAAGCAGCCATGCAAAATATATGCTTCAACTTTAAAAAAGCCATTCATCCACATAACTTGTACCAAAGAATGAATTCTATAGCTGAGATTATGTATGGTTGTAAAAAAAGTCCAGAATAAACATAAAAAAATGTTTTTCAGATGATTCTTTTAAAAATAATGAATAACCTTGTTACTTTTTCCATTTGAACATGCATTGGAAGAGTTAAACAGTTCACAAACAGCAGAGAGCATTGGAAATAGATCTTTTGACTTAAACCAAAATTATTAGATAGCTTTTTCCACACTCACCAAAATGAGAAGCCTTAAGCGTATGCGCTTCATAACTGTCACAGGCTAACATGTTATGGCCATACCCCTGTAACAGAAAAAGGATACAAGAACTCAGATTTAGTTCAAGACACTAGGCAGCAGACCAAATTCATGTTTAACCTCATGAAAAAGCAAAAATATTATTCATTTGTTCAGCAAGATTTGCACTTTATCTCTGTCTTTGCTAAATTTTTTCTCTGGTATTTTTTTCCACCCAGACCCATATTCAGTTTAATGATATATAATAATAATAATAGTAGTAACCACCACCCAAGAACACACGTCACTGATTTCTCCATTCACATTTCCCCCTTCTAGTTTGGAATTAGGATAAGAGACATGTTTTCCTTCCAAACTTCTGCTTATGCGCAGCTGATGCCAGTAAACCGGGAATAAACCTGTTTTGCAGTGGAACTTCAAAGCTATGGCTCATGAACCACCCACCAACATTTCAGGAGGCAAAAGATACTGAAAAGGTGTTTTTACAGTCCTGTTTAGCACAGATGCTTGATCTTTTCATACTATACAACACCACACTCCGCACATGCTGACGAGATTGCTTTCTACAATTAACCTCCACAAATACTTTTATTCAGGTCTCACCTGGGGAGGTCACACTTTACTGACTATATTTCCCATTATTGTCTTCTAAAAGAAGACCAAGCATGGCAAATTGATGGTCTATGCACCATGCTCTGAAGACCAGCACATTCGGGCTCCTCATCAAGAGGAAAAACAAGCTCAGAGCCAAGGGACCTCTGCTGTGAACGCCCTACCCACAGATGTTCAGCAATCATAAATAAGGGCTAATCTCAGCTCTGGTGACAGCACACGTGGAGATAGATTTCTCTTTGCTATTTTATTGAAAATGTATCCATCCAAAGTCCTAAGGGCATGGTGAAAATACTAATTAAGATTTGTGTACATTCTCCTTGGAACAATGTCTAGGACTAAAGCCCCTCCCAAAATCTTTCTCCACCCAGAAATCAGAGATTACCCAAGCAGCCTGTTCTCTCCCAGTAGCCTTGAGGGTGGGTTAGCCAGGCTACCCTCCTAGCGAACCCCACAGAGAGGGAGCCTGGAGGTCAAAATCTCTTTCTATGGTGGAGGTTGTTCCTATCATGCTGCAATATGAGGCATGTCCCCCCCAGAACAGCTCCCCTGACCACCACCAGACTCTTTTCCTACATTTCAGTCTCAGTAGCTGCGACTGCCACCATTTACCCCATTTCTTGCCCCGTTCAGAAGGGCACCCACAGTACACGTTCTGCTTCTGCAGGCTATGGCTTTGTGCTTACCTGGCAAAGTTATTCCAGTTGAAAGCAAGATGAATCAATTGGAAATGAAAAAAACAAAACCAAAACAACCCCAAAGCAAACAATAACAACAAAAAAATCAAGACCAGTGTGGATATCTGCAGCTTATTTAGCATAAAAAGCTTGAGCCTGCCAAGAATTTCTAGAGTCCATCCTTAGTACCCCTTTTTTGTAAAGTAGGATTTCAGAGTAGAGATTTCTTTGTTGTATTTGAAAGTTTAACCTCCATAATAATGTACAAAGGCAAATTTCTTAAAGAATATTACATTACTTCTTCAGAAAGCTCTCCTATAACCATTTCAAAGTCTCCCAAGTCATACAAAGCCTGCGAGTTTCTCCTGGGAGACATTTACTCAGAGGAGCTCCATTAAGAAAAATGCTGAATTCGCCAGAGCTTTCTGCTCTTTGAAACACCCAAACAGCTTGGATGTGTACGTGTAAGTGTCTGTGGAAATCACGGAGTAAACGTATCGACTTGACTTCAATAGTTTTAATATGCTTTGGATCATTAGTCAAACTTACAGGAGACTGGCAGTAGTTTTTGAGCCTTTTCTAGCAGCCTCTGCCACACCAAAATAAAGATGTTTAATATCTGTAATGACATTATTCCATCTTCTTATGCTACATGAGTCTTACCGATATTTATCCCATGGTTGTTATTAAAAGTAAGCATTTCTTTCAGCAGCAGCTTAAGCAGCTCCCTTTTGGCCTGTACATCTATGCCCCATCCTCTCCAGCTCACTAGGTTTGCTGGTACAACTTGTGGGCTAGCAGCAGAAAACTCATCTACATTAAAGTTTCCCAAGTTCCATGGGGGAATTAGTTACAATCCATTTAGACTTAAGCCACTTATTTATTTTGGCCAGGATACATTTGTAGTTGATCTC